ACTCATGGAATGACTAGAAGTCAGGTTGATCACTCGGTGTTCTTTAAGAAGACAAAACATGGTATTGTGATATTGGTCGTCTATGTGGATGACATTGTGTTTATTGGAAGTGACAGTAAGGGCATTCAGACTTTGATTGGTCATCTTGGTTCAAACTTTCTTACTAAAGATTTGGGCAAGGTTCGTTATTTTCTTGGTATTGAGGTTGCGAGATCAAAGAAAGGCATTTATTTGTCTCAACGAAATATGTTCTTGATATTTTGAGAGATACAGGTCATTTTGGAGCTAAACTTGTTGCTACGCCTATGGAGGCTAATCAGAAATTGATGTATGATGTTGGTGACTTAGTTGATGATCCTGAGATGTACAGAAGACTAGTTGATAAGCTGATTTACCTGACTATCACTTGAGCAGATATTTCATATGCAGTCAGTGTGGTGAGTCAATTTATGACCAATCCACGGGTCCCTCACATGAATGCAGTTGTACACATTCTAAAGTACCTCAAAGGTGCTCCAGGCCGTGGTCTTCTTTACCAATCTTCAGGACATCTTCGCAGTGAAGGGTATACTGATGCAGACTGGGCAGGTTCTCCCTCAGATAGAAGATCAACTACGGGTTATTGTACTTTTATTGGGGGTAATCTTGTGACTTGGAGAAGTAAGAAGCAATCAGTTGTTGCTCGAATTAGTGCTGAGGCTGAATACCGTGTAATGGCTTGCACAACTTTTGAGCTAACTTGGTTAAGAAGCGTTCTGCAAGAGCTTGGAATCTCAGTACAAGATCCAACTCCACTCTACCGTGATAATCAGGCCGCCATTCATATTGCTAGCAATCCAGTTTTTCATGAACAGACAAAACACATTGAAGTGGATTGTCATTTCATTCGTTCTAAGGTGGCTTCCAATGAGATTGTGACTCCTTTTGTGCCCTCTTGCAATCAGCTAGCTGACATCTTCACTAAAGCTCTTCCAAAGAATGCATTCAACTCTATTTGCAGCAAGCTGGGAGTTGTTGATATCGACTCTCCAGCTTGAGGGGGAGTGTCATGAATATAGGCTGTTTACAGCCTGTAATTAATTAGGAAAGTTGACTATTCTGCTACATGTAATCTGCTAGCTTGATTATAGGAATATTCTGATGCATAAAATCTGCTAGCTTGATTATAGGATTTTGATTAGCTTAATTTCTGGTAATTGGCTAAATTAATGTACTGAGTGTATGTCTTAGGTTCTTATATAAACCCACATGTACTCACATCTAAGTTGCATACAAGAAATCTTCTCTTCTATTTTCTTGCTCTTATTTACAACAGTTGTGAATAACCAAACTCCTTTTTCTCTTTTATACCATAGTGTCTCTCCTTTTCAACTCACTCCTCGTGTCTTTGGTTGTGTAGCCTTTGTTCATATCTTGGATCATGGTCGAGACAAACTCTCTCCGCGTGCTTGTAATTGTGTTTTTCTTGGATATTCTCATACTCAAAAGGGGTGTTGCTATAGTCCTGAATCTCGCCGATACTTTGTGAGTGCCGATGTTACTTTTTTTGAGTCCTATGCTTTTTTTTCATCATCTGGTGAGCGTTTGTTACTAGATCTCATATCTGCTCGTGAGGGGGAGCCTTCCTTATCTTCTCCTATTCTTCCAATGCCATTGGATCCACCTTCTAATCCTTCTTTGCAGGTTTATCAGGTATCTTGATCTCGTCCCATTGTTTCTTATAGTCCGGACATGATATATTCTCAACCAGAGGTTCTTGTTCCTCCATCTTCCACTTCTGCTACAGATGATTTACCACTTGCGTCATCTTCTCAACCAGAGGTTCTTGTTCCTCCATCTTCCACTTCTTCTACAGATGATTTACCACTTGCATTATGTCGAGGTAAACGTACTTGTACTAAACATCCCATTGCTAATTTTGTGTCGTATGATCATGTTTCCTCCTCCTCGCAGTCTTTTGCTTTTACCTTGTCTTCTATCTCTATTCCCTCATCTTATCGACATGCTTTATCTATTTCTGGATGGAAATATGCTATGGATGAGGAAATGAATGCTCTTTATAAGAATCAGACTTGGGAGCTTACTGCTCTTCCTTCTGGGAAATGAACTGTTGGTTGTCGTTGGGTTTACACTGTGAAGTATCTTCCCAATGGTTCTGTTGAGCGTCTTAAGGCGCATTTGGTTGCCAAAGGGTATACGCAGACTTATGGAGTTGATTATTTAGAGACTTTTTCTCCTGTAGCTCATCTTAATTCTATACGGGTTCTTCTTTCTGTGGCAGTTTGCTGTTCTTGGCCTTTATATCAGCTTGATATAAAGAATGCATTTCTTCATGGCGACCTTCAAGAGGAAGTTTACATGGATCAGCCTCCTGGTTACGTTGTTGCTGGTAGTGAGCACCTAGTTTGTCGACCGTGAAAGGCTCTTTATGGTCTAAAGCAGTCCCCTCGTGCCTGGTTTGATAGATTCAGTGCTGTGGTGATTGAGTTTGGTTTCCAGCGCTCTACTTCTGATCATTCTGTATTTGTTCGCCGCACTTGTGCTGGTACCATTATCTTAATTGTTTATGTTGATGATATTATCATCTCTGGGAGTGATTCATTAGGCATTGCAGAACTGAAACGAAATTTAGGTCAACAATTTCATACTAAGGACTTGGGTTCTCTTTGCTATTTTCTTGGGATTGAAGTTGCTTGTTCTCGTTAGGGCATCTCACTGTCTCAACGGAAATATGTTCTGGATCTTCTGTCTAAGACCGGCTTTATGGACTCTATGGTCAAACTTGATGGTGAACAGGGAGAGTTGTTTGTTGATGCTGGATGATATCGACACTTGGTTGGAAAATTGATTTATCTTACTGTTACTCGTCCCAACATTACATATGCTGTTGGTGCGGTTAGTTGGTAACTAGGTATACGCATGCTCCTCGTTGACCTCATTTTGAGGCTGTTTGTCGCATTCTACGTTATTTGAAGGGTGCACCTGGAAATGGCTTGTTGTATAAACCATCTTCCTCTTTATCTGTGACAAGGTTTAGTGATGCTGATTGGGCTGGCAGTTGCTCTGATAGGCGATCAACATCTGGCTATTGCAATTTTGTTGGTGGTAATCTTGTTACTTGGCGCAGTAAAAAGCAGTCTGTCATTGCTCGTTCAAGTGCTGAAGTGAGTATCGTGCTATGGCTCACACTGCCTCTGTGATGTTGTGGGCCTCTCGCTTCTTCAGGAGATGGGTATTGATGTTCCTACTCCTATGTCAATGCATTGTGACAATCAGGCCGCTATATTTATTGCTAGCAATCCTTTTTTTCACGAGCGCACCAATCATATAGAGGTTGATTGTCATTTTATTCGTGATCTTTTGATGCGGAAACAGATTACTACTCCCTATGTTTGCTCTAACGATCAGTTGGGTGATATTCTTACGAAGCCGTTAGCTTGTGGTGCTTTTCAGCGATTATGTTTCAAGCTGGGCATGTTTAATCTCTATGCTCCAGCTTGAGGGGGAGTGTTAGAGTTTATTTTGATTATTAATGACATTATTGTAATTTTGCTTACTTAATATAAATAGGAGAGGTGGTATGTAGAACCGTACACACACCAGATTCTCTCTTCTTCTTATTCTTCTTCTCCTCCTCCTCCGCTCTAACCCTAAAACACACTGTTATCCAATTTAGCTGTGGACATTTTGAAAGGCGGTAGGGCTCACTGGGTTCTGATGTAGGAGATGGGAAGGGTAACTGGTGGGTGTATTTAGCAGGGGTTCTTCTTGGGAGGTAATGGAAGGTGTAGATGGGGATGTTTAAGCTGTAAGCATAAACCACTGAAGTTATATGGAGAAGCAACAGCATAATGAGAAGAGAAGAGAGAAAAGGAGAAAAATTTGGAGAGCAATATTCACGGCATCCAGGTCTCCTGATGTGGTTTTGGATGACCAGAGGCAGATTAATCCGTCAGTGGTGTTACTTCTGGATTTCGTAGATAATATGGATACAGTTTTTTTTTTTTTTTTTTGATGGTATGTATAGGACCATATTACCACCACCTTTTAGGCTCTTTCAAAGAACTATCTTTACTCGTTAAAAGATTAAGTGTTGTTACTGGACATAAGTGATGTTAGGCAAACTTTAAGTGGTAAGAAATATCTTAATGCTATGTTTGGTTGAAGGGAAGGATGGATGAGAGGGGGGATAACAAAAGTTTTTTGCGTTTGGTTGAAGGGAAGGGAAAAGAGGGAGGAAGCAAGGAGGGATGCTTCATCCCTCCTTCATTTGTAATTTTCTATCCGCCCAAAATTGTGGGAAGAGGAGAGAGAGAACATGATAATAACTAACAAGTTTTTAATTTCCATTTTTAACCTTGTTGTTGCATAATTTGGAGTGGATATATAATTAGGGTATATTAGTAAAAGCAATATAAAACTCTCTTTCCCTTCCCTCCAACCAAACAAAAAAAAAGGTGTCACCACATCCGTCCTTTCTACTATCCATTCCATCCAACCAAAAAAGAAGAAGAAGAGACACCTTGCCTTCCCTAGGGATGCCTTATCCATCCCTTCCCCTCTCCCTTCCATCCATTTTTCCATCCCTCAAACCAAATGAAGCATAAAGGTTGCAATGTCGAAATAAAACCTCCTCCTCCTCCTTCTTCTATGATTTTTTGTTACCAGGAGATTGATTTCTTGGAGGAAAAAATAATAAACATTTACAGTTAATTCGTAGCCAGGTTCCCTTCTTCATCTTTCTAGTTTTCTTCACAGCATGTCTATTTAAGATATTTTTCTTTTTCCCTATAAATTAAGATTATAAGAAACTTGGAATACCAATTTTTTAGATGTTGAACTGGCTCATTTTTATTGTTGGAATTCTGAAGAAGTAATGCTATTTCTTATCATTGTTTGTGCTTGTTTAGCGGTTGAGATTATTTGATATTTGAAACAGTTCTTACGTTGTCTTTTTCTTCTTATTCTTCTACCTTTTTTTTTCGTTATTGTTGTTGTAGGAGGTCCAAGTGGTTCTGGAAAAACTAGTTTGGCTCGAAAAATGGCAAATATTGTTGGTTGTGAAGTTGTTTCCCTTGAAAGCTATTACAAATCTGAACAAGTAAAGGACTTTAAATATGATGACTTCAGCTCTATTGATCTATCTTTGCTTTCAAAGGTAAGACATTTGTTTTATGTCTCTTATTGCTTTGTTTAGTTTCCTCTGCAGTATAACTTATGTGGTTGAAGAAATGGCCGGTCAGACAAGCTAATTCAGAAAACTGGTAGACCAATTTAAGTTCAGAAATAACATAAAATAGCAGGTTCATTTGTGAAACCAAAGATCTGCAATCGTGAACCTACTTTTCTGTAGCTCAAAATAGGGCTTATGGTCTTAATTTGATGATTAGTGGACAATATTAATGTTGGGATTATATGCCCTTCAAAGCCAATTTTTATTTGACATTTGTTATTATTCATAAATTTGTTTTTATTTAGTGCTTTACATACATATGTGAATGCTTGTATTGGTTAATTCATGAGATGAATTAAGTTTCCATTGACTATGTAATGATGATTTAGATGCATAGAGTGTCTCATGCTTAGGAGATATAAATCATTTAATTACATTATCATAAACTTATTTTCATTCAGTGATAAAATTTGGACATTCTATTTGAAAGAATATAACATGTTGGTTTCTATCAGATATGTTGATCTCAGTCATCTCATCTGAGTGGAAGACTCGAAACCATACATGTTAATGTGTAGGGCGCATTGAACTGGATCAATAGAAGAAAACTACAATAGCCATCATAGTAATTTCTCACACAAATTATTGATTTGATTTGTTTCATCACACAAATCTGAATCGTAAAATTGTTTTATTATATATTTATCTATTGAGGAAGAGTTGAAGGGAGAATACACAGAGTGGAACAGCTTTCATTGTTTCAAGCCCTGCTTCTACTGGAGCTGCAATCAATACGGCAGCTCTTCCTTCTTTGGTATCAGAGGCAGATAGTTAAATATATATCATTTTCTCAAAATTAATTTTATTTCATAAAGCAAAATAAATCAAGAAATAAAAATAAGGGTAAATTTGTTATTGGATTGATGACATTCTTTTATCCGAACGCTAATTATGCAAAGAGGGGTTATTTCATAATTTAACATGGAGCGACTTTTCTATGCTTTACTTGGAGTGCAATTAATTTTATATAGTGGAGTTAAAGTTAATTAACGGGCTTATTATTTGGGTCAAGTTGACTAGACATTTAATGGGCCCATTGGAGCGAAGTATTGGATAGGCCCAACTAGATCCCACTCCTAGCCTAACTTGGAGAGCAAATAAAGGAATTAGAAGGAAGCAAGGTGAGAGAAGGGGGCGGTCTACCCTAGGATTTCCCCTAGGGGTGGGTGGCTACCCACTTGCTCTATAAATATGTGTTGTCTTATTTTTCTATAAACACAATAGTTTCTATATTCTTGTGGACCCACCTTTTTCATTGCTGGTGGATTCCATTAAGGTCATACGAGTGAAGACTTGGTTGTGTTTAGAAGCCATCAAAATCAGCTCATACATTGAAGAAAAAGAAGTGTTCTCGCATAAGTCGATCTACCGTTTTCCCAAAGGTCTTATAATCTTTTTCTTCTTCTTAATTGTGATTCGCAAAAACAAATGGGAAACAATTTTTTTGCTTCCGCTATTAAAACCGTTTTCCAACAATTAATTCTACCACTTCAATATTATTTTCCAATATTGTAGCTTAGATTTTGAACTCATTCTTCTTGATAAGCTTTCGGAATTAGAAATAGGTTATTCAAATTTTTTTTTTTTGGTAAGTAAGTATATATTAGAAAGCGTTCAAAAGTGGAACGCATCCCGGGAGCTATACAAGGGCCGAAGCCAAAGAAGAGGTCCTAAGGACCCAATGAGCCCAAAAAATCAACAATCTCCTCTATATATTTACAATTTCTTCCCATCACCTAACTAAAAAGAGAACTAATAACAGGAAATTTCAAAGCCCTAATGGAAGATTCCTCCCGGTCAAAAGATCTTCTATTCCGCTCCTTCCAAACGCACCTCCAAACACAAAAGGGGGCCGCCCTCCAAAAATCACGAGCGTGGGCTCCCACTAAGTAGCCTTTCCAAGCGTCGATTAAACCTCTCGAACACCGAGGCATAACCCAATGGATGCCGAACAAACCAAAAATAAGGCTCCAACAATCTTAAGCGACATGACAATGCAGGAGGAGGTGATCCACAGACTTCTCATCCCTCTTACACATGCAACACCAAGTGTAACCTGTCTTCTCCTTCTCAGGTTATCCATCGTCAAAATCTTGCCCCAAACTGCAGTCCAAAAAAAAAAAGGCCACTCTGAACAAAGCCTTCGAATGTTGAACAGTTTTTCAAGGGAAATTAGAACCAGAGAAGCAGGGAAGATAGTAAAATGAGGAACTAACCTCAAATCTCCCCTGAGCAGAAGGCGCCTAAAAGATGGAATGAGGTCTACTACCATCCACCCCCTGTCTATACAATAGATCTAGAAGTCCACAAACATCATCCAATTCCTAATCTTGGAACTGTTGCCAAAATTGCACATCCCATGTAAACCTACCGCTATCAAGTCGATAACAGTTGACAACCAAGGCATATTTATCAACGGCAATCCTGAAAAGCCTGGGAAAAGAAAAGGATAGCGAATGATCACCACACCATAAGTCCTTCCAAAACCAAATGTCCCTACCATCCCCAGCTCTGAATATGATATGTTTAGAAATTCATCCCACCCCTTCCGAATGAACTTCCAAACGCCCACACCCCTAGCTGATTTGACCGCAGAAGAGGACCACCCATCTCTCTCCTCCCCAAAACGGCACAAAACAACCTTTCTCCACAACCAATAATGATCACTGTCGAATCTCCACAACCACTTACCAAGGAGAGCCCTATTGAAAGGGATCAACCTCCTAATGCCCAAACCATCCAACTAAATAGGCCTACACACTTGCTCCTAGCGGACAAGATGATACCTGGAACTCCTCCCAACCACACCAAAAGAAGTTCCGTTGAATTCTTTCAATCCTTCGAGCAATAGAGGACAGGATTTGAAAAAGAGAGAAAGTAGGAAGGCTCAACAACGTACTCTTAATAAGGTTTGTAACGACCCTCATCCTATTCAGACACAATATTGTCCGCTTTTGGTTCCCCTGGACCAGAGACCTACCATGGGGTCACCCATCCTGATACTACTCCAGGTTAAACTCGCTTAACTCCGGAGTTCTGATGGGTTCACGGCTATCACGGCTTTTAAAATGCGTTGTCATAGAAAGGTGTAGAACCTACATATAGCACTTCACCTTTCCCAGGCGATGTGGGATCATGACACCCTATTGCCTGCTGGTGCTCACCCACATCATACCCGCCCATAGAGGTCATCAAAATCACCCCCCCTAATGGGCCCAACATCCTCGTTGTCCACACTTCTTGCTGGGTTTCGGCTCTGATACCATTTGTAACGACCTTCACCCTATCCAGATATAATATTGTCTGCTTTTGGCTCCTCCAGGCTCCCAGGGGGTCACCCATCCTAGTACTACTGTAGGTTAAGCTCGTTTAACTCTGGAGTTCTGATGGGTTCATGGCCATCACAGCTTTTAAAACGCGTTGTCATTGAAAGATGTAGAACCTACATATAGCATTTCACCTTTCCCAGGCAATGTGGGATCATGACACCCTGTTGCCTACTAGTGCTCGCCCACATCACGCCCGCCCACAAAGGTTGTTACAAGGGTGACTTTCCCACCCTTTGATAGATATTGCTTCTTCCACTCAACCAGTCATCTCTCAAACCGCTCATTAAGGTCCTAACTGCCCGCCCTCCTCGACAAAGCACCCAAAGGCAGACCGAGATAAGAAATCAGAAAAGAACCAACCCCAGTCCCCACACCTGAGGACAGCAATAAGAGAAGCAATATCCTGGAGCTTCCCCATAGGGACTAGCGCATTCTTGCCTACATTAACTTCCAGACCGGAGATTGCCTAAGAACAAAACAAAACGCATCTCAAATGTCTGAGCTGGGATACATTAGCATCACAGAAGACCAAGGTTTCATCTGTAAACAGTAAGTGAGAGATCTCTATTTGATGGGTCGTATCCCTACCCACACTGAAGCCCCTAATAAAAGAAAAGCCCAAATCCATTGCCCTCCTCATTAGTCTGCTAAAAGCCTCCATAACAATGATGAACAAAAACAGAGAAAGAGGATCCCCTGTCTCAAACCCCGAGAACTAACAAAGAATCCCGATGGGGACCCGTTCACCAGAACGGAAAATCTGATGGATGAAATACAGACCTCAATCCATCTCCTCCATCTCTTCCCGAAGCCCAGCCTCTCTAACAAATACAACAAGAATCTCCAACTAACAAGATCGTAAGCTTTCTCAATATCAAGCTTACAAAGAATACCAGGCACACCACTACTCATCTTGTAATCCACACACTCGCTAGCAATCAAAACGGAACCCAGAATATGCCGACCTCCAATGAAAGCGTTTTGGGACTCTAGAATAACTCCGTCTAAAAGGACCAAAACATCCCTCATTCTCAGGGCGAGGACTCTAACAATAAGCTTGCAAATTCACCCCATTAGACTGATAGGTCTAAAGTCCTTGCATCGGATGCTCCACCCTTCTTAGGGATAATGGCAGTAAAAGATGCATTCAACGACTTCTCGAACCGCCCATGAGAATGGAAATCCTGAAAGGTACCCATCACCTCACCCCTAACCACATCCCAACTTTGCGACAAAAATCTCGCATTGAAGCCATCCGAACCCGGAGACTTATCACCGTTACATCTCTTTAGTGTTGTCAACACTTCGTCCTTGGAGAAAGGGACCTCAAGCCCATCCCTTTCTATCATTGAAATCGAATCAAAGTCAAGTCCGCCAAGCCAGGGTCTCCAACTGTAGGTCTCGGTGTAAAGCCTCTGGTAGTAGGAGGCAATCCCCCTACTCACCTCATCACCCTATAGAACTTCAACCCATCAACACGAATCTGCCCAATATGATTGCCCCTCTTGTCGGCATTTTCAAGCCTATGGAAAAACCTCGTAGTACGGTCACCCTCTGTAAGCCATAAAGCCCGAGATTTTTGTCACCATATAATCT